GACTCCTGGAAACCCATCTGCTGAGTTAGGAATTCAGGTGTGACTTAAGAGTGGACTTTCTTACGGAAAAAGCTGGAACTCACAGTATATTGTCACTTATGACAACTTAATGTTGGTATCAATTAAATTTTCCAGAAAAAAAGCAAACAAACACCTTTGGTAGAAATTTCACAGGCCTGATTGGAATTTGGGGATTTGAGAGTGTTGGAAAGCTGCTAAATAACTGGGTTATCTTAGGTCCCACAACAACCTCTTGCAAACCTCTGTGTCTGACCTAGCATCTTCCTGACTGTCAATCACATGAAACCTTCAGGGATGTGTTAACCGACCACAAACTTCCACTAACCCTGATGCTAAGAAACTCATGAGATAGCAACTGAAACCCACAGCAGGGGATGACCTTGTTTCCACCAATGAAAAGTGCCTCGATCTGTGTTTTTTGGTTTTTGGTTTTTTTTTTTTTTTTTTTTTTTTTTTTTTTTTTTTTTTTTTTTTTTTTTTTAGTGCCTCTTGTTTTTTTTTTTTTTTTTTTTTTTTTTTTTTTTTTTTTTTTTTTTTTTTTTTTTTTTTTTTTTTTTGTTCTGTAATTAAAAAGGCTTGATGAAACTGTTCCCATATTAGAACATGGCATTTGGGGCAACCTGAATATGTATTCCTGGGCAAGGGTCGCTCATATTTGGCTACAAGATAAGTAATCTTTTGTTCCCTTGGAGGTGAGTTCTGTGGCTTTTTAAAATTTTTTAAAATTAAGATGCCTATGAATAGAACATTATCCCTTGTAGTTTAAAGCTCTCTGTGATAAATTTAAATGAGTGGAAACAGTCCAAAGACCTAATCACCCACAGCTGCACTCATCTGCGCTATCTTCGTCTTTCAAAGTCATTAGCACATGGAAACGTCCTCCCTTTCCCATTCTCTTTCCTGTAGTGAATTGGGCAGCTGTCAGTCATGGGTGGGTTTTAGTTTTTGGAAAGATTTTCCTTTAGAGGAGGGGTCTCCTATGGTAGTTGGAGATGATGTTCATTTGGTGCTGGCTGTTTTACTATATATAGGTGGGGGTTTTTGTTTGTTTTTTGTTTTTTCCTATGTATTTTTCTTGCCTATGATCTGAGCCCTAGAAATCAAACTGTTAGTCTTGTGTTTTGGAGAGCAGCAAGTGCCTTCTTCAATCGTCATTTTGGTACACGCTGATTCATCTGGCTCTCGGATGTTATGCAAAACAGATCAGCCTGTTAAATTGCCTGGTCCAAAGCTTATTTGCCATGCGTTCTTTGCCTTTTGATCCTTTTCTACTTCCCTCTCTGAATCATTATTTCTCAGTATGAGAAAGATCCAGGGACTATCCGGAGGCCCAGTGGCTAAGGTGCTTGCCACCAAGGCTAACAATGCAAATGTGTCCTCTGGGGTAGAAGGAGAGAACCAAGTTCTGCAAGTAAATACGTATTACTTTTAAAATTCTTTAAAAAGAAATGAAAGCTGTGCCAGATGGGAGCATAATTCAAAGGTGCCCAGCCTGGTTTTATGCCCAGGATCCCTGAAAGCAACCATGTTACAAGTCTGATGTTTTTCTAAGTGAGAGACATGCATCGGGAGACTACCCCTCCCCTCTTTGTTCATTCTTGGCTGTTCAGGAGAAGATTGAATGAGGTTTACTTTCAAACAGTGAGTGGGTTCTCCACCTAGCACACCTTGATCACTCACATGAGGTGGCGTTTCAGTGTCATGTATACCTTTCCTTGACTTTATTTTTTAAAGCTTTAATTTGATACATTGACACAAACATTTAGTGTCTTCCCACCAAGTCAGGGGAGGGTAGTGTACTTGCAATCTTAATACTTGGAGGCTAAGAAATGAGGATTAAGAATTCGAAGCCAAGCCTGGGCCACACAGTGAGACCCTGTCTCAGAATTAAAAGAAAAGAAAGCATGTTTGGTAGCTGCCATGTCTTCGAAGTCCTAGTATCTAGGCCAGTGCCTGGTATAGAGCAGGTGATAATATTTATTTTATGAATTTTACCTTGCTTAAATGTATTGGGAGAGTTTCTTCTTTCTCCTCCTCCTCTCCTCCTTCCCCTCCCCTTCCTCCCCCCTTCCTCCCCTTCTCCCTCCCCTCTCACCCATTCTTCCTCCTCTTCCTCTGCTTCCTCTTCCCTTTCCTCCTCCTCTTCCTCCTCTTTCCTTCCTCTCCCCCTTTTCTTCTGACATGGAATTGTCCTCAAAGCCAGTTGGAACAAGAGAAAACAGATTTCTGGGCTGGCTTTGAGGAGCAGGAGGGTGTTCTTTACGGAGTTGCCTGTGTTCTTCCCTCTTCCACACACATACAGCCGTGCACCAGTAGCCGTATCCCTCTCTCCCATGAACTCCCTCCCCCAAATACTGGGAGGCAGAGGCAGGAGGATTACAGATTAGATTTAGGGTTACGTTGGGCTGTCTGTGGCCTTATCTTAAAAAAAAAAAAACAAATAAATAAATAAAATGCAAAAGCTTCGAGAACATACTTTAAAATCAGGCAACTTGTGACAACCCAGACACAGCTATTTACAGTGACTGAGCAGAACATGAAGTCACCTGGGTTAGGTGAGCTTCTGCTTTGCATTGATACTAAAATCATACAGTGAGTTAGCATCTAGATGTGTGATGATCTGGAGTGAGGATGGTGGTGACAGCAATAGCAATGAGTATGTCACAGGTTGTACACCTGTTCTGCTGTTTGGGGGCTAGCCCTGTAACCATGTGTTGTAGATTGCCCGTGCCCTGTGAGCCCTCTTCTCAACTGAGACAGAAGGCACTCTGTGCACCGTGTGGTTGCTGTGAGTGGTGTGGTGTAGGAAAGCATTTTGTAAGCTGTTCTTGTAAGGTACTTAGTAGTAATGTCCTAGGAACCATGTGATGCATACATTTCTCTGCCTGCCACACACGTGTTTTCTTTCTTTTCCATACCCTAAGCTTCCTTCTTGGTTTGTGTATCTTTTGAGACATTTTTATTTCAGGCCTTAAATTAAGAACATGGACTCCATCCAGGGGGTAGTAGTGGCACACGCCTTTAATCCCAGCACTCAGGAGGGAGAAGCAGGTGGGTCTCTGTGAGTTCAAGACCAGCCTGGTCTACAAGAGCAAGTTCCAGGACAGCCTCCAAAAACAAACAAACAAAAACAAAAGCAAACAAAAAACAAAACAAACAAAAAACCCAAAACAAACAAACAAACAAAAACCCTGAAATATGGAATCATGCACTGGTGTGACTTGTCCCTAAACGTCTTTCAAACTGGTCCTTTGTTAAGTAAAGGCTTTAAGGGAGAAGGAGGTACTTAAAAAAAAAGCAGTATGGGCTGGTGACATAGCTCAGCTGCCCAGTGTTCCTGACTCCCTGTGTTCCAGCCTCAGCACCACATAAACTGGGCGTGATGGCACATGCCTATAATCCCAGCAGTAGGGAGGTGGAGTCAGGAGGATTATAAAATCAAGGTCATCTTTGCTACAAAGTGAGTTTGAGGCCAGCTTGGGACAACCAGAGGTTCTGTGTTTTCAAACAAATAAACAAACTATATCATATGCAAAGCAACTGAAAACTGACAAGCTGACAATATACATCCAAAACACAGACACAGGCTTCTCAAGAAAGAGTTGCCTGTATAACTTCTAAAACTGGTGTTTTTCATTGCACCCAGATAATATCATGAGCAACAGTTAAAGTTGAAATACAAAAGAAAAATTTAAGCGTTTATTTGTGTGTGTGTGTGTGTGTGTGTGTGTGTGTGTGTGTGTGTGTGTGTGTACACATGTAAGTGCCCATGGGTGCCCGTGTGTGTGCAAATGGGCTACAGCACATGCATGGAAGTTGGAGGACAGCTTGCTGAGTAGGTTCTTTCCTTCTATCATGTGGGTTCTGGGCATTGAACTCAGGTCCTCAACCTTGGTGATGAGCACCCTCATGGCTTAACCATTTTACCAGCCCTGAAAAGAATATTTAGGAACAGGAAATACCAACTTTGAAAAATGCTGTAGTTTTTCATTGACCTAATCTAGTAATCAGTATTCTTAGTGTGTTCCGGGAATAGACTACTTCCCCACTCATAAGTACAATAACATCAACAAGCCAATGAAACAAAGGCCTGTGCTTTTCAACCCTATCTTTTCTTATTATTCAAACTATATAGACACCGTATTTTCATGAGAATCTATTATAAATTAGATACTAATAGTTTCTGGACATAAACACCCCTTTAGAATTCTAAAAGCCATCAAAAATGCCTTGAAACCAAGTTGCCAGATGCATCCCACTGACAGAGGGTCTCCCCTGCAGCTGGCAGTCTGCTGTCAATTGTGCCATGTGTGGTGTGGCGCTCTATTGTGCTGTGTGTTGTGTGGATCTCTGCATTCCTAGCTCCATCTCATCATTTATTTTGTCTGATCATTTCTATTTCTTTCAACATCTTCCTTTTCATTGTTAGGGACCAAAATGACCCAGGCCCAAGCAGCCTAGGGTGCCCCTTGTGACCTGTCCTTTGGTTTTAGAGGTTCCCTTTCCTATGTCATCTTCTTTTCAGAGGAGGTTTGAGACTCTTAGTAAACTGAAAATCCTAATGGGAATGAGTACAGTGCAGGATGCTGTCTCTATGGAGGGTCAGGAGACACTTGATGCTGGGGCAAATAGAAGAGATACAGGTGGCAGTTGTGCTATGAAGGAATGGTTGAAAGCATTGGTCACAGATTCTGGGGCATGCTTCAGCAAATGTGGCTTCAGTTCACTGCTTGCTGAGAAGAGCCTATCACAATGGTTACAAAACCCATGAAAAATGGTGGTTTTCATAAATGTTATCTAGGAAATTGTGTAAAATTTAGTTTCCAAGAAACACCCCCAAAGGGAGAAAGAGAGAAGGAGGAGGAGGAGGAGGAGGAGGGAGAGAAAGAGGAGGAGGAAGAAGAGGAAAGAGGAGAAGGAAGGAAGAAAGGAAGGAGAGCAGATATAAGGCAATGATTAAAACAGGTGGGCCCTCATGCTTGCTTTGGCAGCACATATATTAAAATTGGAACAATACAGAGAAGATTATCATGGCCCCTGTGCAATGATTACAGGCCAATTCACAAAGTGTTCCATATATATATCAGGTGCCCCTAACATTTTAAGCATAGGGCCATTCTCTCTATTCTTGGTTCATGAGCTGATTGGTACAGGCACAGTGCCATCACCTCAGTATCTAGTCTGGCTACTCAAGCTCTCTGCCTTTTGCCTCTTGTTATTTTTTTGTATGCCTGCTTCATTGATTGTAAACATTTCAAAAGAGGACAGCGAAGGGAAGGAGGTGGAGGTGAACACCAAAGGTAGCTCATCCTCCCCCTTGTCAGCAGCACTTATAAAACACCGAGAGAAAGGATGAGGTAACCAACCATGTACACAAAGTTCTCAGTGACAGCTGAGGGCTGGCCTGGTGGGCAAAAGTAGAAGGCTGATGACTTGAGTGTGATCCTCAAAGATCCGGGAATATCTTTTGCCAATGCTTTTCCCATTCCTGTGGATGACTGCTAACTAATGGGTCATAATTAAACGTTGCATTCAGTTTAGTATTTGATTATGTTAATACTAAATCGTATTGCTCTCAGCTTCCTTACAACTAAGCTATTGATGTTTGCTGTGACGCTCATGCCAGGAGGTGCCGGATGTAGGGATGGCAAGCTGTGAGTAATTATTGGCAATGCTATTTGGACACATTGGGCTGATACTCTGTCATTTACTGAAAAAGGCTTCCTTTGATGAGGTCAGTTTGTCCCAGCAACACTTTTGTGACTTCTGAGAGTACTTCCTGTTAATTTCAATAGATTTTTACAATTCTGCAAAAATGGGTCAAAAGCAAGTTTTAATTTCACCTTATTTATATAAACATATCCTGTCTTATACAGTATTTCCCTCCTACCTTCCTCTTTGGCAAGAGAAAAATGAAAGAATGCTGTCATGCTATGAACCCAGTTTTTATTTTTCCTTCATGGGAACCTTGAACTGAAGACTTACAATATAGCTTGTCTCTATAGATAGACACAGTGTTCTTATGGATGAAGTCCATTAGAATGAATTAGTAATAAAAAATGAATTAGTAATAAAAAATATCCTGAGACCTGGCTCTGAGTAGTAGCTGTAAGGAGAAGTTATGGAATTTTAACCTAGTTCCTACAATGAAAGTACTCTTTCCAGTGTACTGTGCTCATATTGAACTCCTTAAGTTTAGGGACTAACAAATTTTTATATACCCTACAATCCACAGGTGGAAACCCATAGTGAAAGTCATGAATTTTTAACCAACTAGTTAGTTAAAATTGCACAGTCTAGAGGAGGAATCCTATAGTGAAAGACACGAATTTTAACCAGCTGTTAGTTAAAATTGCATGACCTCTCTGGCCTCAAGAATTTCGTCTGAAGAGTAACAGTTGACATTTATGGACTTAACTCTCTGGTAGGCATTTATAAGCACATTACATTCATTAGCTCAATTACTTTCATGACACCTATACCTGTGTCACATCTGTAATTAAACCACTTGTGTAAAATAAGACTGAGAGTTGAATAATTTGGGCAACTTCCCAGCTAATGTTGCGGGGGTCATGATATGAAGGCAGACTCTTTGACTCTCTCTCTGACAGGCTGTCTGACTCGAGGCTGTAGCCTATCTATTGATGTTGCCCTCTGTAGTTTCCTGTAAATATAGCCATGCCAGCTCCATGTTCTTCAATGTAACATGGGTGTCTGTGTTTACAAAGAAATGCTGGGTCTAGTTAAGTTGGACCACAGTGATGCCACAGCTCAGCGCATTACCCCAGAAGAGGTTTACAGATGGCTGTGTCAGTAGAGGAGGGTAGACCCTCCATTCATCAAGCCCCCAAAGGCTCAAGAAGCAAACTGGACTTAATGACTCCAGGAAGTGCCTAATTTTTGTCAAATATAGACTCTTACTCAAGGGCTGGACTTAGTAAACACCAAGTAGATGATGGCTTAACTTATTCTATGTACTAATACATAGACTAGTAAAAATTCTAGAACTTTTTCTTCTGTAAGTTGCATGGTCATAGTGTTTTATCACAGCAACAGAAGAGTAACTGGTATAGCAGCTAAGTTCTATATTACTGAGTTACACCTTCACCTGTCCCAAACGTCTGTGAGTCTTACTAACTCCTTAAGTAAAATGGGACTTCCTTGCACAAAACTGAAAAAAACTCAGGGTTTAGGCCAAATTTGAAACATAAACCAATCAATTTTGAGTTCTCTAAAGAGAAAGAACTGGGGCTCTTCAGTGAAAGGGCTGATTCTAAGGTTAAAGGAAAAAATATAAAATATCAATCTAGATCAGCCTTTAGTCCCAGAGAATTAAGAATCACTAAGAAACACAGAAGGGGGCTTTGTCAACGGGACGCAGAGTCAATTGGCAGGGCTTCTAATGGCATGTCTGAATAATCAGAGCAACAAAATAATTAAGATGGTAGTGAATTATACAACAAAGAATAAAATAGATCTTTGTAACAATGAGAATAAATAATTGGTCATAGACCAAGTAATGGGGGAGCAAACAACTCTTCTATGCAGTTGAATGCAACTGGTTTATGTTGGTATCCTTCCCTTGAAGAGTTCGAACATGATACCCTCCTTACACGTGGGCCAAACATGGAACTTCCTTACCAAAGAAGAGGTGGGGGAAGTAGCATCCCATGAAAAGTTCCAGGCATCCCCACCTCAATTAACAGATCAGGGTTGACCTTGCAGTAATCAGCCTCATTAATCATGATAAATCACACACATTCATTGTACAGGTCTGTGATTAGGTGTGGCAAGAATGGTACTTGGGTTCTGTGCTCAGCATCCTTCACTCTTCTGTGGTCAACATCCTTCATTCATGTATCCTGTGCAATCATGAGAAACAGGCTCAAGCAATCACTAGGAAGGGCGATCCAAGAAAACATCACAGCCAAGATAAGCCAAGGACAGGTTGACTGGAAGCCCCGTGACAACAGGGATTGGCTCTTAAAACAAGAAAGGTCAACAGGATTAAGCTAAGGAAACACAAATAAATCATGGGCTTTTTTTGGGAAATAGTAATGATCTGAATAGAAATATAGTAAGACTGGCTTGTTTGATAGGACAAATGTGGCACATTAAGGATGCTCACACTAGGGGAAAATGAATACAGGCTGTCTGGAAACTCTCTGAACTATCTTTGTAACTTTTCTAAAGATATAGCTCTATTCTAAAATTTTAAAGTTTGTTTAAAAAAGTCCCTTTCCTCTGCCCCAAACCTCCCATTTACTTCTTCTTGCTCTCTTTCAAATCTGTGGTCTCTTTGTACTGGTTGTTACATGTATATATGTATATACACATTATTCCTAACTATAACCTGTTCAGTTTGTATAATGTAACTTGTGTCTATCTTGTCAGAGTTGACTTGATTTGGCACAGCAACAATAGCATATAACACAGTAAGGGCCACATAAAGCACAGTTTTACAAGCCATCAGAAGAGCCGTATTTTTATAATAACAAGTTGTAAAACTGCAGCACCTCGGACTATGCTTTAAAGGCCAAGTCTAAAAACCAAGAACTTGAGTCAGCAACAGCCCATCCGTCACAAGAGAAAAAGCAGACAAAGGAACAAAGCCTGTCCAAGACAAATGTCTTCCTTTTCATGAATGTAAATATGCTAATTAAAATTCTTCTGAATACAGAGGACGCTGGGTAAAATAATCATCTATATTATTATTATATCTCCAACATCTGCTCTCCCCTTCCACAATGGTGGGGTATGGTTATCTAGCTAGAGATGGTGGACATGTGGAAATGTTGGAAGAGGGATATCAGTATTACAGGAACTCATATTGAAAAGTCCCATTGTTGGCAAACTAGCTATTCAGTACCATTTACCAAGATTCCTTTGTGTTTTCCTTCTTTTGTTTTGGAGGGTGGTGGTGTTATATGGGGTCTCAGGTCAGCTTGGCTATCCTGGAACTCACGGTGTAGCCAAGAATGACCTTAACCTTCAATTTCTTGTTCTCCTTCATCTACCTATTAAGTGCAAGCATTCCAGGGGCACATCATAACACCCAGCTTTATGCCACACTGGGAATCAAACCCAGGGCTTCCTTCATGCCGGGCAAGCATTCCACCAACCGAGCTACATAGCTAGCTTTTGTGATTTTCACTAAACATTTCAGCCCCGTTTCTTATATTTAGAATAGAGCTGAGCAACTTAAAACATAAAAGATGGAAATGTGTAAGTCTATATAAACATGTTACGTTCTTTTCTAATTGCTTATTTTGATAGATGGGTTCCTTTCTCTAGAAACATACTTTAAAGCAATACATTTAAGGAAAATGTTTTAACGTTTTCATTTTGTATAAAGCATGTAAGAAATAAGACATAATATATTTAATGGTTGCCCTTGCCTTTGTCAACCCTGAAAACAGAGAGAAACTGGAGTCTTACCTGTTTATAAATACTTTACTATGTAATTTGAAACCTTTTCTCAGGGACAGGAATAGTCTCCCAGCACACCTAGACTGGTCTCAAATTTTTGATCATCTTATCTTATTCTCCTCAGTGTATTGGTGTGTGCCACCTTGGCTGTCCTAGTTTTATTTCTGTTGCTGTGACAACATACTTTGACAGAAGCAACCTAGAAGACACGGGGTTTATTTGACTTAAAATTCTACATTACAGTCCATCATGTCAGGGACATTTAGGTGAGAGTTTGAAGCAGGGAGAGAGAGAGAGAGAGAGAGAGAGAGAGAGAGAGAGAGAGAGAGAGACCTAGCATTCAGTTGGCTTTCTCTGCTTTATTAGTTGAGGACCAAATCCACTGTCATCCACAATGGGTGAGTATACCACCTCAGTAAACACAATCCACCCTGGCCCTCAAGATACACCCACAGGCCAACCTGATCTGAGGTTCTCTTCCCAGGTGATTCTAGGTTCTGCCAAACTGACTTTTTTAGTTTAAATTGTACCTGGCATGCCTTTAACATATTTTTCTGTTCAGGTAATAGAAGTAAAGCATTTTAGGAAATTTCCACTGAGATTTGGGGAATATAAATAGGGTTTATCTACCTTGTGAAGGAAATTTTCTGGCA